TGTATAGCTGTATAATGTGTTTGGGTTTTAAACTAAGTATTATAAAAGAGTCAAAAGTTTACAAAATGTAAAAGTTTATAAAGTAAAAAGGTTACAGTAATCAAACTAATTTATGACTGAGGAAAGAAAAATAAAAAATAAATTTAGTGTAGTCTAAGTGTTCAGTGTTTACAAAGTCTAGAGTAGTGTACGGTGACGTCCTAGGCCTTCACGCTCACGCACCGCTGACTCGCCCAGAGCAACTTGCAGCCCCGCAAGCTCCATTCATAGTGGGTGCCCTATATAGTTGCACCTTTTAAAAAATCTTTTATGCTATATTTTTGCTGTACCTTTTCTATGTTTGGGTATGTTCAGATACACAAATACTTACTATTGTGTCATAGTTGCTTACAGTATTCAGTGCAGTAACGTTTTACAGATTTGTAGCCCTGGAGCAATAGGCCGTACCTTATAACCGAGGCGTGTAGTAGGCTGTACCATCTAGGTTTGTGTAAACGCACTCCATTATGTTCATACGATGACAAAAATCACCTAACGATGCGTTGCTCAGAACATATCCCCGCCACTGAGTGACGCATGACCGTATTCTAATAGCCGCCTCTAGGTATAAGTAGAAAAGGCATAAAAAATTCGAAAGGAACTCACTATAATAGTGAAGGCAATTGGAGAATGGCCATTTGGAAAAAAAGAGATGAGGCCAGGCACCCATCACACCTGTCATCCCAGCACTTTGGGAGGCTGAGGTGGGAGGATCCCTTGAGCCCAGGAGTTTGAGGTTGCTGTGAGCAAGGCTGATGCCAGGGCGATAGAGTGAGACTGCCACAAAAAGAAAAAAAAATCGAAGATTATCCTAGAACATAAGGAAAATCCCAACTGGGAAATGGAGGGCGGGGAGTTAGCTACACTCCCAGCAAAAAATCGGGTCCCTTAGGTTGGCGTCGTTGCAAAGGATAAGAAAATGGGAAATAATAGAAATAAAAGAATACACAGAGACGAAGGTGTAGTTTTGTAGATTTATAAACATAAAAGGCAAAATGTGGGTACTCAGGGGTCCCCACAATATCTCCGTGAATTGTAAGGCCCAGAATAAAGTTTCACATGGATATTTATAGATAGAGATCGGTTGCCAGGGGTAACAGATTTACATAATAACAGGTAATTCGTTTTAGGTTAAAAGTCTTTCAAAAGGCTTCTATAGATCCCTTAATTAACTCTGGTTACAAAGTCTTTCAAGGACAAGCTTCCAAGTCCTAAGATGAAGCTATCACTTAACAGAAGGGTTAAACAGAGATATATTGGCTCCATATTTCTTTATCTAGTTATTGCAAATAGAGACAGGTCATCAGAAGTCAAGCAGGAACTGTCCCTTGGGCTAATTGTTTTTAGCCACAGATATCTGTCTCTGTCTCTCCGGCGGACATTCTTTGATCAGCTCTCATCCCATGATTCCATGT